CTCCCGCCGGGCCCTCTTCCGCCGCCTTGGTCACCCGTGTCCCCGGGGGCTGCGCGGGGAGGAGGCGGCCGGGGCGGATCCGAGCTGGGTGCCTGGCCCCGCGTTCCCCGCGGAACGGATTTACCGACATCTGGCCTGGTGATGCTGCTGAGAGGTGGCCTGAGCAAAAGGAGGCGGAGGCGCGGTGGTGGGGGCTGGGGGGGGGAGTCAGAGGGTCCCGCCCCCGCCCGGCCTCCCCCCTCCCCTCCCCTGTCCCCCCTCCAGCCCCCAGCCGCGTACGCTCTGCGGGCGCACCGGTTCTCCCGCGGCTCTCCCTTTCCCCGAACCCGATTCTCCGTGTAGAACTGGATTTCTGGCGTTGTTTACCTCCCCCGCCCCCAGGCCGGACTCCTGTGGTCCGCGGTGGGCTTCGGCCCCAACGCGGTTTACAGTGGCAGCCCAGGCCGGGCGCCGCGGCCCTCCTGCCGTTCCACGGCCCAGGGGGACGGGGTCCATTGTTCTTTCTAAGGCTGATTCTGTGTATTTTGATACCCAGAAATCTGTATGTAGTTCGTGTTTTCCTAGACGAACTTGGGCATTCTTTGAGGTGGGGTAGAAACTTGAAACACCGTACATTTAGCAACATGTAACGATTCGGCCTCAGAATGCACACAGTCCTGGCTTCTTCCTTTCCTTTTTTTTTCCCCCTTGAAATAAGCTATGTGACCGAAGCTATGTGGTTCTTGATAGGAAAATAAGAGACAAGTAGCGGGCTGGCGATCAAAATTAAAGACCTGTTAGAACTCAGGACGGGCGCTTGACCGCGCTTTGAACAATATTTAAAGCTGTTTTGGTGAAGTCCTTAGTGAACTTTTTACTGAATGTCTAAAACATAATATAATACACAAGGTATTCTTGCCACTGGGTAGGCTTCTGTAAAACGTTCATTTCTTAATTTTTTTATTTTTTATTTTTGTCTCTTAAGTAAGTCTTATTTTTAACTGAGCATTGACAGAATATCTTAAAATGGTAAGGCGGGGGTGGGCGTGGGTATTGGGTACAAGAGAGCCTCGCCATTAGGTATCCTGCTGTTCGTAGCTAGTTCACAGACTGTATGCATTTGGGCAAGATTTCCATCTTGAAGAAATTTAACCAGCATTCTCTTATTAATTCTTTAGGCTGTGGAAATAAATCCCAGCTCCTACATTCTGAGATGCATCCTTTTTATTTAAGAAAAAAATGCTAATAAGAGGCAGTGTACTTAAACTGTGCTTTGCCAATATATAGGGGATGGGTGACTACGTTACTGGGCAAATTATTTGTAGAATAATTATCCTTTAGCTAGGGGGGGAAAAACATGGATTGCAACTCTTGGGGCAGAGCTGCTTTTTAATGTTAATCAAGGGGAAGTAATTAAAAATGCATGTAACAGTCTGGACGATTTTGCTGACTTTTGGGGAACCGAATCCACAGTCATCTTGATACTGGGATGGGATAGCAAATGTACATTTGATTTTTCACTTTGGAATTGCAATGAGTTTTAGCCAAGGAACCTGAGAAATCAAGCAAATAAGTTGCTCTATTTGAAAGTAGTCATTCAATATAAATAATGCTATATCACGCTTAGCTTTTCTTATTCTGATATGATTGATGATATGTATATTCTTACTTTTTTCTCCTAATGTATCTTTGTGGACACTTTGGAGAGAGGTTTTCTTGGACTCTCCCATTTCTACAGTCTTTATATACTCTTTTACTGCGAGGTCCTCTGCTTTTAACAGATATCTGAGGCAACTATATTTGTGCTTTTTTCTTACGTAAGAAGGCCAGCAAAAAAAAAAATAGTTTACTGAGTTGTCACTTTTATCAGTATATAAGCGACTTTCTTTATTACAGTTTCAGGGAAGATTTTTTCAGGATATTTCTCAGTTATTCTAAGGGCCAAATTTTATAAAATTTCCATTAGGAATGTCAGTTTTCAAGTACCCTTTGTATAGCCTACGGCCTGTGTGGATAACAATAATGAGCCTTACGTGTCCTAACAGGAATCTACAAGTTCCCAAAGTAACTGTCTCCATAGAACGACTCTTGACATGCTTTTCTGAGATTCGGCTTATTTTAATTATTGATTCTTTCTCACTGTCCATTCTGTGTCATTTCATCCACCTCATCTTCTTTGATTTGATGATCTGAGAAATTCTGTGCTTTGATAACAACTCAGGTTTTCATTTAGGGTTTTCAGTTTATTATTATTATTATTATCATTTTCTTCTCATGTGGAACAATAAAGGTGAAACACAAGTTTTGAAGCCGAGCTTGCTTCTGTTTTCCTTACTGCTCACTTTTTCTTTTTCTTTTTTTAAACTTTTTCTGGACTTCTAAGTTGCATTTTTTTTTATCTTTTCTGCATTGTATTTTTTTAACACTACCTATATTCATCAGCTGCCTAATTAGTTTATCTATTCCTTGTGGATGCAGTGAGTTTATAAGAGAATTTCACAAACAAGTAGTTTTTTAGTGAACTTAAACAGAATTTTAAAGGAGACCTATTTTTATACTCAAGAAAAGCACAAATGTGCAGAAAGTATAAAA